AGCTACGAGAGGAGTTAAGAGAAGAGTTTCGAAAGGAGATTAATGATATGCGTCAACAACTTGATTTGATATGTTCTCTCCAGGAGGAGGGTGGATGCTTTGGGGTTGGACCGGTGGAGTACAATGAACATTTGATATTATTGTTTCAATAACTTATCAATTTCTAAAATGTGTAGTTTAATATGTCCTAAAAATGTTGTAGGTCCCAGATGCATCTAGTACTCATAGGCCACTCAGAGAGCTACACGAAGATAGACGTACACCATCTACACAGGTGCAACACGAGTTACCAACACCCTCACCATGCCCACGACCTTTTAAAGAGGTTTGTCAAAAATTCGACTAAAATCTAAAATACTAATAAATGTAGTTTTGACATTGCTATTTATACTGACTAATGTAGTGTTGCTTGGTTTTTTTTTTTTTTGTAGACACGTGTTGTTAGGACAGAAAAGAGAAAGCATGCACTAGGTCTGAACAATACTAAGGTAAGTGCATGCGTATGGTAAACATAGTGCATGACAATGTGTGGTACATAGATTTATAATTGTAATTTTTTTTTCAATTGTATTTGTTTTGGCTTCTAAAAATTGTTAACACTTGTGATTGTAGATTCATACAAAAGTAGACCTGCTTAATTCCCATTTACCATGGCAAGTAGTGACGAAGGGGATCCTTCTTAGTATGGACCCATCGAAAGAAGTAGAGGGAGTACCATTGGGACCTGAGTTTTCGAAGGTATATGTTGAGGAAGCAATAGTGCCTAATAATTATTTGATAAGACATTTTCTTGGTGTAATTACTATTGGGCAAGCAGTGGGAAAAAGTGTTACTTGGCCGTCCAGTGATGTATGTTTTATCTTAATTACTATGTATATAATTAGCAACCAAACATATTATTGACAATAATAACACAAATCGTATCTTTTGCAGGTGCTATCAGATGAATAGATAACGTAGAGAATGGATGATGCATGGGTAGAGAGTACACATTATGCATGATTACAGAGCAAATGGTGCATTGGGAGACTAAAGTTTTTTATTATGCATTGACATTTTCATTACGTAGTTTGAAATATTTTTTTTACCACTTTTTTGACATTTTCATCACATTTTTACCACTTGACTATTCACTTATGTTGAACATATTTTTAATTTTAAATTTAGATGTTTTTGTTTTAAGAGATGTGCCTTATTATTTTAATCAAATGATGTTATGGGTAATGTATTAGATATGTAAACAGGTGTAGAGCAAAATGTGAAAGAGAGAATTAGGTTTTAAAAAAAAATTATTTATGAAAGCAAGTTGCTGACGCAAGTAGCGTCAAAAGAGTAATATCATTTTTTTTGCGTCGACCTTCTGCCGTGACAAATAATATCTTTTGCAACAGTTAAAAATCATTGTAAACGGGTTTGTTGAGACTGTCTCATATTGTGGGTAATAATATCTTTTGCGACGGATTAAAACCGTTGTAAATGGGTTTAGTGCAACGATTACCTACAGTAGTTAATAGTATCTTTTGTGACAGATTCTAACCGTTGCAAATGGGGTTTTTTGCAACAGTCCCCAACTATGACTAATAATACCTTTTGCGACGAATTTAAACCATCGCAAATGAGTTTTTTTTCGACGAAAAATTGCTGACGCAAGCAAAAAATGTTAGATCTAAGATTTTTTTGCGACGACACATTTGCATCAGGTTTTGCTGATGCAAAAGCTTTTGTAATGGTTAATTGCCGATGCAAAAACTTTTGCATCGCCTATTGTTTGCCACCCCCAATTTGCCGACTCAAAAGATCACATTGCCGTCGCAAATAGTATTTGCGACGGCAATGTGATCTTTTGAGTCGGCAAATTGCCAATGCAAAAAACCCTTTTTCTTGTAGTGTAGTGCTCTAGCTACGTTTGTAACACTGTGCAGTGTTATATATTGTATCAAGTTTCTTATTTATTTGAATGGTTTTGATTATCATTGCACAGGTTAAATTAACTTGGTTTTAATATGATTAAAGAGATATCAAGTTAGGTCTACCAACACCCTATATCTTTTTTAGGATAGGGTGTGACAACCAAAGAGTTACATCAATCAGTGGTTGCATATACTGACATCCTGTACGTCACAGTTCTCAGACAGAGTAACAACAAATAGTGACAACAAATATTAACTTCAAATAATAAAATTAGACCAATGCAATCCCTAAAAAAACAAGAGACATAAAAAATTGACTTCAAAGTGTTTCAACATATAGTGACATATTATACAATACATATCAAATAAAATATATGCCATTAAAGAGTGAAACCAAATAGGGAGACTAAAGAGTGACATCGATCAGTGGTTTCATATAGTGACATCATGTGCGTCAAATTTCTCAGACAAAGTAACAACAAATAGTGACAACAAATATTAACTTCAAAAAATAAAAACAGACCAATACAATCCCTAAAAAACAAGTGATACCAAAGATTGACATCAAAGTGTTTCAACATATAGTGACATACTCTACACCACATAAAAAAAATGTCATTGAAGAGTGAAATCAAATAGGGACACCAATGACTAACATCGATCAGTTGTTGGATATAGTGACATCATGTGTGTCACAGTTCCCATATAGAGTAAAAACAAATAGTGACAACAAATATTAACTTCAAATAATAAAATCAGACCAACACAATTCCTAAAAAATAAGTGAATCAAAGATTGACATCAAAGTGTTTCAACATATAGTGGCATACTTTACAAATATCAAATAATGTATAAGCCATAAAAAAGTGAAATCAAATAGGGACATCCAAGAGTGACATCAATCAATGGTTTTAATTTCAAAAAATAAAATCAGACCAATATATTCCTTAAAAAAAAAGTGACACTAAAGATTCACATCACAGTGTTTCAACCTATACTGACATGCTCTACAACATGTGCCAAATAAAATATATACCATCAAAGAGTGAAATCAAATATAAACACCAAAGTATGACATCAAAGAATGACATACTGTATGAAAACAAGTAAGTTGTAGTCATGATATTAGGCTGACACTATATGGTGTCTCTCTACTGGTAGAAGGCAAGAAACAATGAGATTCACCATAAGGTGTCATCCAATGGTGTCTTCAACCTGTTCCCTATGCTTGAACTCAATGTTATATTCCTATGTTTTCAATATATGAAAATAAGTGATATTATGTTACATGGATGTAGAGGCCAAATCTCTATTACTACTATGCATTTTTTATGGGTTACTTTTTTTTTTTAGCCAACAATGAAAATGATCAGTAACTCTATGTTATTTTTATAAGGTTTTATTATATAAACACAAGTGATATTGTATTAAATGGATGCGGAGAAGAACAATTCAATGTATGTTGTAACTGTATGTTGTCTCTCTATCGTTTATTAGTGTCAAATCAAGTAAAATAGGCAGTTACTCTATGTTGTATTTCTATGGTTTCAATATATGGAAACAAATGATATTTTTAGGTTGTTACTCTATGGTATCTCTTTATAGACACATTGCATTTCTATGGTGTCATTTTATGGTGTCTGTCTATGAAAACGATGCATTTCTATGGTATCATTCTTGTTTTAACTCTATGGACATAATATCGTTGCCTTATTAAGAATGAAGTGGAGTAGTCATGATATCAAAAGGCACATATATAAGGTGGTATAATAGAGTGACATCAGATAGACATTACACTCAAAAAAAGTGATTTAACTCATAGAATGAAGCCATTCATAAAAATGAAATCATCATATTTCTAATTAGAAAATACATTCAATTAACAATTTGTGAGCAAATTATGAATCCATATCATTCCCCCAAAATTGAACTTTCATACAAATAAAATTTTTAAATACTTAACAAGGAGACACCATATTTTAACACTATACATAAAGTTAGTGAAACTACTGAAAATTTGTTTCTTTTAAATTAAAATGTTAAATACATTCATCAAATTAGGGCATAGTATTTTATGTTTTGGTGTTTTTCAAGAAAAAAAAATTAATATAGTATGAATTCTTACCGTTAAAGATGACACAATGAGGCTAAAGTAAAGCCATTTACCCAAAGATTTCAGCGACGGATTCTTAAAAACCCAAATCAACGTCGATGTGCTTCGCCTTCCTCCTTCAAAAAAATGTTTTCTTCTTTGGAATGTAACAACTCCGGTATTCTTATAAATGAAATACTTTCAATTCGATTATTTATTGATTCTAAAAAAGATGGTGAATCCAAGATCCAACAGCTAATGACTGGAAACCAACAAATCGTTGGAGCGATACTTTGATTTGCTCTTCCAAATAATCGATATCTTAGCAAATATGAAAGTAATGGAGTCAAGGATTGAAGTTTGAAATTTTTTTTGAAATTCAAGATATGAGTAATTTGATGGATTACCGCCTGAATATTGGGTATGTTCTCCGGCATTAATGGCTTATTGATAATTGCGGTCGAATAAACCGACACATTTTTTTTTTCAAAAATCGAAAGACGCTTCAGTTACTGACGTTGAAGGGGTTTTTAGTCTTTTTGCATTTTGATGGACTGTTGTCCAAAATGTTTTAAAAAGTGGACTTTTAGCCTATTAAGTCTCTATGGGAGTGTTTGGCAATTCATGGATAGACTGGATTGGCTTGGATTTAAATCCCAAACCAATCCAGTGAAATCCCAATAGGCCAAATTTATAGGGGGATAAAAGGATATTATGTTTTCTAATCCCTGCTTTGGATAGTGCATTATGATGGACTTGGGATATAGACAAACTATAATTTTTTATTAAAAATTTAATACCTTTGATATTAATTGACTATTTTACCCTTGAATCCTATCCTATCCTTTCTCCTTTTTGGCTTGAGAATTGTTGGTTACCACTTTTTTTTTAAAAAAATTTTTGATCATTGTTGGTTACTAATTTAATATTGTGAAAAATATAAGAATGCTCATATATTCACCTGTTTTTCAATGTCTAGTCTGAATATAGCCACAAAATCAAAGCCTGAAAAAGCACAAGCAAATGGAATTATGTCAAAAGTATATCCATATCCCTTTTTCTTATACAAACCTATCTTCTTGCTCACTATGCTCCACAAAATCAAGATTCCACTGTGTGACCTGAATTGCAACATAACCTCCAGTTGCAAAGGCTCTAAGAAGGTTCAAAGTTGCCACAGCTTGGCAATAAGCCCTTATCATCGTTTGAGGGTCCGGAATTCTCAATTTCTCATTAAAAGCATCACCATTGATATTGTCTCCCTTGTAACTTGGCAGCTTCACTCCATTCTTCTCCTCTAATGGATCTGATCTCGGATTGGCAAACTGACCCGCCATTCTTCCCACCTAAATTAATCAAGCCCACAATTCAAAATCACAATTCTCAAGTCCCCAATTTTGATATAACCAATAATACTCTTGAAAACACTTGTGATGGACCAAAATTATTTATGCAAAATTTTTATTTACTTTTGATCTCAATCCATAATGCCAACAGAAAGAAATGTATAGAAAAACTATAAATCTAAGAACCCATTAATTCAACATCAATGAAACAGGCCAACATCAATGATGCTGACCTCCCTATCTCTCATTTTTTAATGTCTATAGGTGGCTTATAGGCTGTGGACGAGCTGTTTGATTATGTTGATGGTATCGGTGGTGGTGCTAGACTGCTAGCCATGTGTATTTAGAGTGAAAGATGGTGATTGTCGTAAGGATAATGTTATTTAGATTTAATTTATTTTTGTAATTTGTTAAATTAATTCATTATAGGTATTGGGTTAATACTACACTCTATAAACTATTGGGATTTGCCCATTATCCAAATGGCACGACAATTAGATTTAAATAATATTATATTTTTTTTAATTAATTGATTGATTTTGTGTGGATAATTTATCAGGTATTTTACATATAACAATGAATATGTGTGTAAACATTTTAAAAATGGAAGCTCATGTTGTTGATGTTAGTGCTCAACAAAGGAGAGTATTTCATGAAATATAGGATTCATAACCTCTCTATTACCCTTTCTTTTCAATTTTATTCAACACAGGGTTAGTTGAATGACACGCGTCTAAATTTACTACAACGGATAAGATTTCTATAAAGCAACCACATTGGTTAAATCATAGTTAACTGTACACACAACGGCTAGAAAAATGGAAGAGATACATGTTAAGCAACCAAGGATGGAAATGACATCAATTTTTGGCACTCAAGAACAACATCGTTTTCTCCTTCATGAGAAAACCATATTTCTTGGTTCATCTTAATCAGGTTGTTTGGCGTTAGTTTTTTTATCTACAGGTAGATTTCAAGTTTGCATCACTGTCTCAGTGGACCTCTCCTGTAATTACTGCATCTTTTTGTTTGTTATTTTCACTTTTCTGTTATTTAGATTATTATTTTTGGGAACGAATTCACGGTTGGCCACTAAAGTGTCACTTAATTTATGTTTTATATTGGACAACTCTATTGCTCATGAGGTGTTTGTCAAAAGTCTTTAATGAAATTTAATCTAATGCTCATGTTTCAAGAACAAATATTTATATATGTGAGAACAATTATCGGGGCATTGTGTATATTCCAGAATCATCAGCTAAGTCAATTTGATGTGCATGAATCTAATTTATCTTCCTTTGTGATGGCAATATGTGAACAACTGACATAGGAACCAGAAGATGATTATGCCTCGCTTCAAATGAAATAACTTGAAAATTTTCATTTGATTGACAACTAAAAACAACGTGAGCTAAACAACCAGTTCTAGTCTTCTTTCTAGGCTTCTTCATCATGGGATTTTGCTTGTCATTTCCTCAATGACCTTCTTTATAACATGTGAAATTTCTAAATGTAATGTAACCATGGACTTTATTCTTGTTCACATACTCATTCCGAATACTAAAACCAATGGCTCCGACATACTCATTGTAATATAGATAGGCTTCATCATCAAAATCAAATTCCAACCCAAGTTTCATTCGCACATAAGGCTTAGAATGTAACACATCAACAATATGCTATTTATTAATTATATGAAACAAATGTCAATTGTATGCGACACTCAAAAAAATTACTTATCACAAAAAAAGTAAAAATAGAAAAGCTACAAAGAGGAAAAAAGGATAGAGAAATATGGCATTGATTAGAAACATGCATGTTTGTTATTCACGCTGGGATTAGGTTATTTATAAGGAATAAATTTCTCATGACCTGACTTTAAAGGGTTGTCAAGAGTTGAACTCAAGATGTTAGGATTATATATGAGAAACGTATACCTTGTCTCTTGAACAGTGAGAGTAGAACTGGAACATAAATAAAATTCAAGATAAATTGGCTAAAAATTAAAAGAAATTTGACTGCAAAAAAATTGATGCAGTTTTCATCCTTGGTTGCTTAATGTGTATCTTTTTCGTTTTTTCAACCGTTTGTGTATAATTAATTATTGTTTAACCAGTGTGGTTGTTTTGTACAAATCTTGTTCGTTGGAGTAACTTTAGACACGTGTCATTCATCTAATCCTATATTGAATAAAATTGAATGAGAGGATTAAAATCCTATTCATATAAACCCTTACCGAATAATAATTATCTCAAAATAGAAAAAATATTGTATAACCTAAAAATGAGCAACGTAATAGAGACTTAATTTAATATCTTAATTAGGGATCTAATTCATAATAATTATTGAATGAATTAAGATTTTTAATGTTAAAAATTTATTTTTAATCCAACAACTATAAGTGATTAAATTCAGAGATTAATTCCTCAAATTAGATATAAATATTATTATTTTTTAAATTCAGAAGTACCCTTGCAATTACTAATAAATACCACAGAAGAAGGGGAGATATGCGTAATGAACCAACGGCGTAGTCGTTATTTATTAGATTTCTGAAATCGGGGGGGCATTCGGGGCCATAATCTCCACATGTCATTCATTCAATGGCTAGTATTAGCCACATGCATGGCGCAATCCAGAAGTGATAAGGTATATGTATAGCCTCACTACCACCCATTCCCCACCTGCAATTCTAATCTACAATGGCGATTGCCAGTCCTCCAGACTGGTCACTTGCTTGCATAAACTGCAGCAAAAAATCATACAAACCCACCTTCAATTCAACCTGCACAGCCCTTCCCATTCTCTCTCTTCTACTCTCAAATTCACGAGTTTTAATAGCAAGATCCTCCAGTTGCTCATCACCAGTGTTAGAAGATGCACCCAACGATCCACCCATGGTCCAATTGGATCTAAAGTTTCAAGATCTTCGTCTTTCTTCGATCCCCGAAAGCAAGGATTTAAATGGGTTCATATCCACTTTGCTCAAAGATCCACAAACCGAAGAGCTCGCATTTGAATACTATGAGAAAGCGAAGGAAAAAACCGAGTTTAGACCTCAGAAATCAACTTTAAAGCATCTGATCAGGTACTTGATAAGTTCGAAGGACTGGAGTTCAATATTGTCAGTGACTCAGGATTTTGAAAATTTCAAAGTACTGCCTGATAGCTCTACATGTTGTAGATTAATTAGTAGCTGCATTAAAGCTAGAAAATTCAAACTTGTACATACCCTGCTTGAAGTTTTTAAATATGATACAGAAATTGCTGTTTTAGCATTTGATTCAGCAATGAAAGGCTATAACAAGCTTCACATGTATAGTAGCACGATTGGTTTGTATGAAAATATGAAATCTGCTTGCGTTTTTTCCAACCCCGGATGTTATTGCAAGGTAATGGAAGCATATCTCAAAGTGGGAAATAATGAGAGAGTTGTTTCATTGTTTCAAGAATTTGAAAATAGAAGAATAGTTTCTAGTTCTACAGAATTTCTTAGTGAAATTTATTGGATGTTGTGTGAGTCACTAGGGAGATCAGGGAAACCTTATGAAGCCCTTGAGTTCTTCAGAGAAATGACACAGAAGGGTGTTCCTGAGAATCCTTCATTTTACTCTTCCTTGATTTGTTCATTTGCAAGCACTCGAGAAGTCAAAATGGCGGAAGAGCTTTTAAAAGAAGCAGAAAAGAATAAAATGTTGAAGGATCCGGCTGTGTTTTTGAAGCTTGTATTGTTGTATGTTGAAGAAGGGTTGATGGAAAAAACTCTTGAAATTGTTGCAGTTATGAAACGAGTGAAGAGCAGAGTTTCTGATTGCATTTTCTGTGCAATTGTTAATGGCTTCTCTAAAAGAAGAGGGGTTAGAGCTACAATTAAGGTTTATGAGGAGTTGCTCTTGCAGGGTTGTGATCCGGGCCAAGTTACATACGCCTCAATTCTAAATGTATACTGTCGAATTGGGCAATATTCAAAAGCCGAGTTGGTGTTTTCTGAGATGGAACAAAAGGGGTTTGATAAATGTGTCGTGGCTTATTCTAGCATGGTTGCAATGTATGGAAAAACAGGTAGGTTGAGAGATGCAATAAGACTCGTAGCTAAGATGAAAGAAAGAGGTTGTCAGCCTAATGTTTGGATTTATAATTCTCTATTGGACATGAATGGGAAGGTCTTGAACTTAAAGCAGGTGGAGAAGATATGGAAGGAGATGAAGAGAAGGAAGGTTGTGCCTGATAAAGTTAGTTATACCAGTGTTATAAGTGCTTATAGTAAGGCAAGGGAGTTTGACCTGTGTGTGAAACATTACCAGGAGTTCAGGCTTAATGGTGGAGTGATTGATAGGGCAATGGCTGGAATCATGGTTGGGGTGTTCTCGAAAATGAATAGAGTCGATGAGTTGGTTAAGCTTTTGCGAGACATGAAAATGGAAGGGTCTCAGTTAGATGGGAGGCTTTATAGGTCAGCTTTGAATGCTTTGAGAGATGCTGGGCTGTTAGTCCAGGCAAAATGGTTGCAGGACAGCTTTCATGCAACCTGACTTACATATTGACTGCCAATGGGTAGCTAAAAGAGGGTTTTGTGTCTGTCAAAACGGTTGGAAAAAAAAAAAGGTTTCGATTGGGATAGCCTGTAGAGAGTACCCTGGGAAATGCCTATGTAATTATTCTGTAATTGCATTGTATGACATTTCATGACCAATTAAGCCTGTGGCAGAAAATACACGTTCTAGCTATACTGGATTGTTTGTCCATGAAGTGAACAAGGGGTGGTTAAAACGCAGATGTCTTCAAATATTGGGAAAAGGATGCCTACCACGTACTTTTCTGAGACTCTTGTCTGTGTGGTAGTCTTGTGTGCCAGGTACAACTTTTTAAACTTGTTCACAATTTCGTACATGGATGAAAGATACCTAATTTCATGTAACCTCCACTTGAAATGGAAGTTTATTAGAATAAAATCATCGTTCTTCTTCAAAACTTGAAAATTTTCGTGGCATTAGAAGATTGTCGCCTCAGTGACGCTGCTCTCAACTATGGCAAAGCCATTGTGATGGCTTTCGAATCAATCACATGACTTTTAGAATGCCAATATTGAAGGGATTTAAATTCTGTTTCTGTAATTTATTAACCTAATAACTTCTCTTGTTTTAATTTTTTTATTTCTAAATTTACTAGTTATTTAAACTTGGCCATGGCTTGATTGTTATCCTTAGAATTCTGGGTATGGATTTACTTAATGTTTGCCATGTCGTTGTCTCCAAGGGGATTAGGTATGAGTCGTTGATCTTATGCAATTGTTTCTCTTTTCCTGACAACAATAAGTCTGATTCCTCCTATCAACACCACCCCAATTAGGCTAAACGATTCCACCTTCATCAGGGCAAGCTATTAATCTAAACAAGTCTTACCCTCTTTTTCAGCCAAGCTGTACATCTAATATTCATGTTCGATAGCTAATTACATTAGGATCCCTATTTTGAATGGAAACACCTAGTTCAATGTTGGGAGTTGAAGAAGCCAACTTTGCATTGGACATGGTGAAATTGGAGATATATATTTATCTAATCTCTTTCTCCCTTTGTCTCTCATAAATACTCTCACACACATAACATTATATATACACATAGATAGTGGTGCACTGGGCAGAAATTACACTGTGTGAACATCTGAGGAACCATCACAATACTTTGTTTTGATCAAACAATCAAATTTTCCTTGTTTGTACCAGTTCCGAATCGATTGTTTGATGCCCAGGAAGGCCCCTCCACTCATGAAACCGTTCCCAATCCGTCCCCAGGCCGGCTTGCAGACCCCTCTGAACAGCTCGAGCAATCAATAGATAGCCAACCGGCTGTGTCTGCGTGTGTTTATCTATATTCTCCTCCTCATGCAAGGCATGCTGGTTAGTGCCCTACTTTGTGAAGTCATGATTTTTTTTTTCTCACTAATGTAAGTGCATTTGAATGGAAACGATTCAATAATTTGACTGTACTAAGTTGTATAATATTATAAAGATAATCCTTAGTTGTGTGATATTTCATGCATACAAAATTATATTATTGGAACTAATGTGTGCAAGTGTAGGTAGACTACTTGGTATGTGGATATGGATTAATTCTGCATGCACAATATGAAATAATAAATTAGATATGACTAATTCAATGAAATCAGTTCATTCAGGTTGTGTTTGGTAACAATTTCGTTTTCATATTTAAATTTTTTTTTTTAAAATAAATTTTTTCTTTTTTTTTGTGTGATTAAAAGTTAAAACAGAAAATGTGTTTAGATGTAATTGTTGTTTTACAAAATCTAAAAACTAGGGTCAATTATAAATTACTCTCTTCAAGTTTATAATTTATTACAATCAACTCCCTTTGATTTCAATTTGAATAATGTGCACCTTGAACTGTTAACATTTTTTCAATTAAGTCAAGTCGTTGGTTTTTTGTCGTTAAAAGAGATGACATTAAATCACGTTGAAGACAGGTGATCTAATTCGTTTTTTGAAAAGACAAAATTACCCATATGTTCTCCCCAATCCTGTCCTTACCCAACGACACTTGCCTTATCGTCCAGACATCCAAACCCTAATTCCCGAAAAGGATATTGGGTGTAACCGTTACCATTTCTTTCCCTCTTTAGTGAAAACCCCTCATTCTTAGGCCAACACTATTTTACTCATCAACTACCCAATCATCCTTCCTCCAATTGAAACCACTTGCCACTAAATCTCCATCACCATTGGTATATATATATATGTGTGTGTGTGTGTGTGTGTGTGTGTGTCTGTGTTTGAGAGAGACGAAGCATGTACCACCATCTCCCATGGTTGTGATCCCCTTCTTCCATGCGATTGGAATCACCTCCGATCAGACCCATGTTGGTGTTAATTAAAGGAAAAGAGAGGTGAAATAGACGCCCATAAGAACGCAACACTATTAGCGCCATTGAAATCCACACTAGTCTTTGGTGAGACTTTCTTCAATTGATTTGCTCTCCATTTCGTTGGGTATTGATAGGTGGAGTTAGAGTTCCTCTAATGGTTATGGTGGTGCATTTACAGTGGTAACGTTGGTTAAATTTGGTTGTAGGTGTGGTATTTGCAATGGATTCTCCTTTCTTGGTTTTCTCTTAAGATAATGGGATGTGTGTACCTTTTTCAAAACTTATTTGACTTTAAATATCACCTCCAAACTTATTCTCCTTTAAATTCTCTTTTTTATCAAATAGTTGTTAATAAGTACTCATTTTAAAATATTTTCAAATTCTTTCTAAAATATATTCCATAATTACCCCTACCATAAATAGTGCATACTTACTTGAATGTGAGACTTTCAAGATTTCTTTTGATATTTGTGTATTATTTGAATTTTGAAATTTCATATACAAATATATATATATATATATAT